CATGTTCTGTAACCTGCGTGCACTCAAGGCTCCATTATGGAGTACACTATACAGTACTTGTGAATATACATGTACAATGTATACACATTACTCAGTCTAACTATAAAGTATACAGCACTACATTGCTATTCAAGACTGTATAAACAACAGGCTACAATGTAACCTTAGAAATGCTTTTTGTCTTTCTAGACTCCTATGCTTTCTACTTAAAAACAACCATTTCTTCATAAAGACATATAATTGAATGTGACAAAAGTATTAACATGTTTTAATGTTAAATATGTATAAAGATACTTAATAAAATGCTGATGTACATCATGTGTACATGTACCTACATTTGTATATCAATGGTTATCAAATATATTTTCCTTCCAACAAATTGAAAGCCACTACAATAGAGAGTGCACACAATCTCTACTGCAAAAAGCTACAAATTTGCCAGGATGTGACTGAAATTCACTCAAAATAGGGATTAAAATTCAATATTTCTTCCTTGAATTTTGTACATCCAACATAGCTGGGATTTTAAATGTTTAATATTTTCTGAAGTGAAAGTACTGAAAAATGAAACGTGTGCATAACTTCCATGACAATAACGGGACTCATTTCCTGAAACCGCGCTTCCTCTTCCGCTCTACCAACAAGGTAAGAGTAGAGCTGTGATGCAACGTGGGTCAAAGGTCATTCCTGCCTACCATTGTTCTCTTTGCTTTCTTTGCCCTTGAGACAACACATTAGTGCCAAAAGGTACTTGAACATGATTGAACTACAAAGATTAAGACTAGAGACAGTTGACTCATTCATATAAAAGTTGTAACCCATGGCACAGTTTTTCTTTCTTTATTCCCCCCCCCCCCCTTTTTTTTTACCACTTGGTCAACTGTAGATTAACATACGGGCAGACAGTACATGTACCATGTCCATGCATCTTAGTAAGAATGTACATGTACATGTATATGGACACAATGTGGCTTTGTAATGCGGCACTCTAAAGATTGTCTGTGACACAAGGCCTACCAGAAAGACAGTTTGGATTTCAAGAGCCTCTGGGCTTCATGTAGCACTAGCAGCAGGAGACATTCCAAATACATGTATATGTCAGGAGGCCTTGGAGACCTAATAGTCAGTCTCTTGACCATTCTGGTCTTTCAGCTCATCAGTGTCTCCTTGCCCTTTGGTATTGTACCCCAATCTATATGGGTCTTTGGTCTTGTGGGCCTTCCATCTCCTGGAACCTTTGGTCATGACCATCATGGGGGACTGAGTGGGAGGGGGAGGGGGTGATACCCAAGACATGTATATGTGGGAGCTCTGTAATGTCAGAACTGAACAAAAGACTCACGTTCATAAACAAGAAATTTATCTTGAACACTAGACTCTGATCCTCAATTTTGGCAGGATACTTGGGTTGATTAAACCCTGCTGGGTATTTTACAGCCAGATTTAGTGGTTTCTGCCTTGCCTTACATCAAAGTCATTCTAGGTATTAGTCATCTTCCAATTAAATCAAGATGAAGATATCATACTCAAACTTGACCATGAATTCATATCGTGACACGGTAAACAATTTCCCTTCTCTGTGTATTTCTTAATCAAGGATTCATGGTAGACTAGAATAAGATGATATATACTTTACACGCAGTTCTAAACTCTGGATCAGGTTTTTAAACAAGGGGTTGAATTAAATAATAATAATAAAATATGGATTTATATACCTACAGTATATATGTTGAATACAAAATGCAGTCTCTAAATGCTTTACATTATTACCCAGGTCATAAGATTCGTTCGCACACAGTGTGCACCATCTCCACTCCCTGGGGAGTACATGTATTCTTACCATATGGTTATGGAAGGACATATGACAACTACAATCACAAAGGCTTTCATCAACCTACCAGGTGCCCACTCTAGAGGAAGAAATAGACTTTCAGCCTTTTCACACACAGCTAAAATTCATCGTATCTAGAGATGATTAGAATCACTCAACAGTTTTAAACATGTTTATAGACAAAATTTCCCAGTGTGAACATCGTTTATACGATGTTGGGATAGACACGAAGTCGCGATCCATACGCCCCTAAAAGCAGGCTGCAGATACGAAGTTCGTATCTAGAGAGCTTGACATTTTGTGTGTGAAAGGAAATTCGTGTTTAAACGTGTTTAAACTGGATGGAGCGTGCGCTTTGATTGACATGACATGACCTTCAATGCGCAATGGCACTACTGCGCATTTTACGAGCAGTAGTTAATCACGAAACTATTAACGACCGCAACGAAATTTCTGTGTGTGAAAGGCTCGTGATTAGTTTAAACACGTTCGAAACACGTTTATACTAGTCATGTTTATAGAATTTTAGCTGTGTGTGAAAAGGCTGCTAATTGATTCCTACCAGAGTAGTAGAGACTATTAGACAGTTCCCGCATAATATGGCCTCCGAACTTTGGAACTTCAAGGAGACAGAGTCAATGGACTCGGTGCCAATATCCCTGTTACCTATATGACATAACCAAGGTCCAAGGACGTTTTACAGGTTTACATAATGTGTAAGATTTATCCAGAGTTCAGTGCCATTTCTTGGTGTCCTATCGTTCACTCTGATTTCATAATAAGAAAGGATATTGACTACCGGTATGAAAAATGGCAGACCTTGTGCTCTTTCAGCATTTTCATTATGCTCTGTGTTACAAGTCAGTGTAATGCATGATGAGCATCACTAGATAATTTTGTTTAATAGATAAATGGCGCAGTTTATATATTTTTTTATAGCTTCATATCTGAACGAGGCTTAATGTACTGGTAAAGGTAAAACTACATTTTGAGGGGTTAATGCTAGCTCATCTTTATTATTTCAATGATGTATAACTTGGAAAAAGAGAATGAGAAAGATTTGTTCTCTATATAATAGTACCAAGAAGTAGAAAAAGAGATCTTAGAGTAACCTGCACTTGTACTTCATCCATATTGTCTGGCAAGAGCAAGAGGATCGTTGAACTACATGTATGTAATATTTAATATAGAGTTAACCGTACCCACTCCTGGTTATCAACAAATGTACATGTACTTTCTGCATGATTTTTCATTTGGGGGGGGGGGGGGGTGGAGTCAGCCTTTAAATTGCAAAGGTAACTGCTCAAAATAATTGGCAAAATACAAATGAGCAGAGAAAATATCAGGGGGAAAAACATGCTTTTCACAACAATAGATAATCCAAGAACATGCATGGTTTAAGTAAATTCGTTCAACTCTATCCTTTTAAATCAAATGCCATTTTCAGCCTACTTTTGAATGTTGGTATTTCTTTAAAGCTGTGAAGACACATGTACACTGTATGTAGGGAGCTGGTTTGGACTCACCTACATGTACTGCAGGAAAAGTCATCCCAGTAACCCTTAATAATAATAATGACCCTCTATGACACCACAGACATACAGTATGAGCCCTAGGACACCAGCCACCAGAAGCATGAACCCTAGGACACCAGACACATATGAAGTTATGAACCATAGGACACCAGCCACCAGAAACATATAAACCCCAGGTTACCAGCCACTAGAAACATATGAAGTACCCTATGACACCAATAAAGTATGAAGCTTTGGACAAAACTGTAATATGAACCCTGGGACACAAGAAACATATAAACCCTAGAACACAAGACCCATGTGAACTCTAGGAAACCAGAGACATGAACCCTAGGACACCAGAGACATGTGAACCCTAGAACAAAAGACATATGAACCCTAGGACACAAGACACATGAACCTTAGGACACCAGAGACATCCCTAGGACACCAGAAATGAACCCTAGAACATCATAGACATATAAACCCTAGGACACCAATAAAGTATGAACCCTGTAACAAAACTGACATATGAACCTGGGACACAAGACCCATGTGAACCAGACACATGAACCCTAGGAAACCAGGGACATATAGGACACCAGAGACCAGGACATATGAACCCTAGAACACCAGAGACATATGAACCGTAGGAAACCAATAAAGTAATGAAGCCTAGAACAAAACTGACCTATGAACCCTGGGACACAAGAAACATATGAACCCTAGAACACCAGAGACATATGAACCCTAGGAAACCAGGTACTTACATGTATATGAACCCTAGGACACTGTAGAGACCTGGACATATGAACAATGGACATATGAACCCTAGGACAAGGGGACGGTCAAGAAGTACAGTTTTATAATTGTCTGCATTAAAATCTACATACATCCGCTCTGTTTAATTGTTGTTTGTGTACATCTCTTTGAGTTTGTGGCATCAACACATGCTCCAGTCACATCTCCTCCGGGCTTTATTTCATGGAAAGTTTTATTCAGTGTTCAAGGGTTGCAATTGGGTTTTTAAAGGGAATGTAGCATGGCAAAAACTGGTAACGCAATCTACGACTTCTTTTGGGCAACTGAACATAAACAAATGGACTTGATTAACGGTCAGCGCGCGCAACCTTCGCGAAACAGACCAAAGTTCTCCTCACGCTTCGGTTTTGCGTATGTTGCACGCACGTAAATATATAGGACTACTATGGTTGCGTCTGTAGTCGTATTAGTCTACATCATATGTATACCTGATTGGCCCCGAGTCAGGCCACGTGAAAGACACGTAGTCTTGTCAAGCTACCCCCCCCCTTTAAGTTTGGTTTACATTTAGGATTAAAATGTGATGTACAGTGCATTGCTGTTTTCGATCCATTTCTACAAGATGACGAAAAGTCATAGCACTCTTTTTTTTAAAACAGAATCATTGTTCATCATCATCATCATCACCATCATCATCATCATCATCATCATCGTCATCATCATCACTATCATCATCACTATCATCATCATCATCATCACCACCACCAGAATTTGCTAAGCCTATAAAGTGTAAGCAGCAGCTAAGCAAAGCGAAGGCTTAACTAAGCCAAGTAACTGATACATGCACATCGATGTAGGCAAGGACTTCTAGCTTCTACAAGGTCAGTATTTACCTGGCAGCACTCTGACTTTTCATTTCGTAGATATTTGATGAATCAAACGAAGCTAATATTCTGTCGAGTTCATCTGTGCCAGCGTCTGCTGGTTTCATTAACAGATCTCCATCACTTCCATTGACCCCTGCCGCCACCAGGGCCTCGGCTTCCAAATCAAAATCCAGATCGACTCCCGATTCACTCATCTGCCTGTCGAGCGTGCAGCGATATCGTGCAGAAACTTATTTTCCGAAATCCCAGTACGCTGGGATCGACGTTTTGCAGTAGTTGAAGTTGATAAGATTATAATCAATACAATTTTGATATCATAAACATCATTAAACATTAATTTTTGGCTGATCTCATAATTAAGCACATACACATGTGGTAATCGTCTCTGGTTTGTTTACACGTATGCGTACGTAAGCCGCAGGTGCGGGCGCGTTTGTCTCGTCACTTCATTGAATATAATATGCATGACAAAGGTCATACACTTCACGCCCCTATTATGCGTACGTCGTAGCGCGTACGTTCTATTGAGGTCGAGACAAGGGTCGAGACCGTACAATGGAGCGGTAATACAGGTCCTATCATTGGTCTAAAGAGTGATCGGTTTTTACAAGCGAATGTGTGATTGGCTAAATGCTTGGGGGCTCGTCCAAAACATTGCATCAGTGTCTATTTCTGGAAGATGATGTCGTCATCGTACCATCTCGTTCGATCGCTTGTTCTCCTTTTCATGCTAACAAATACCAATTAATATGAGAAAAGGCACTAAAATTAGATGTGAGCATTTACGACCATAGATTGTATACGTACTATAAAAGTCTGTAGAATACATTCATAGAATGATATAGGGTCTATGTTTACAGTTAAAATCAAATTTCATTTAAATGCAAACAATATATTTTTACCATGCAGATCTATATAAACAAAACAAAATAATTTACTAAATATTGGTAGGCCTATTGGTAAGCTAACTTAAAAATGAAGCTTTCAGTAAAAGAAACGTTGACTATGTATAAATAGGTCTTTAGCATTTTAATTTCGAGGGGGTTGAAGCACGATGCCCCCACTCTTTCTAGTATACCTCCAAAGTGCCCCTTTTTATGTAGGTATTTTTTTGCTCCCTTTTACTTCATACAGCTAGTTAACGAGTAAATTATTAATACTCTTACCAAGTTTGGAATTTTGTAAGAGTGTATATGTCAGCTGTCAGCTCTGATAAGTGCCCTTATACTTTGACAATTAGTGCCCCTTTCAGATTTTTATGAGTGCTCTTTCACCTTCAGATAGCTCCTTTATTATATAAATGCCCTGTTCACCTCTGATACTCACGTGTCCCTTTTCCATTGTAATGAGTGCCCTTTACCCTCCGGATCAGTGCCCCTTTCAAATAATTAGTTACCCTTCTTACTTTGTATGTATATAATTGCCCTTTGAAGATTTATTGTGGCCTTTTAATTAAGTATTTCCCACTGCCGCTTAGACCTATACTGCTAGTATGCCCTTTTCACTTTTGCAGTTGTCCAAAGAGCCACGCTTATCTAGTTTCAAAGAATCAAAGCAGTTCTGTAATTGTTTAGTAACAGGAACCTTTTTTTTCTATACCACGACAATGAAAGAGAGTGGAGCCGTGGGGGGGGGGGGGCACAATGATGCTTGACATTTTATGAGAATGAACGGTGCTCCTTTTAAGATTATTAATCGTACTCGTTTTTATAGCTATCAAATGTCCTTTTTCTACGTTTGTTTAAGCAGTGTGCCCTTTTTACACTTATAACGTTTTGCCCCTTTAAACTACCATGATATATTCTTTTCAACTGCTAAAAGACTTATTTTCCTACCTATCATCCTTCAAACATTATGCCTTTTTAAAACTTCATATAATGCCAAGGTAATCAATGAAATACTCTATGTTCAGGAATTTTAAAAAAAGGTCTAAACATTAGACAATGTAGGAGTTTGCACGGCAACTGTATTTACATTACAAAAGCATGCATATTAAAAAGACTGAAACATACCTTTAATAAATAATAAAATGAATCTAACAAAGGAAGTCCTATAACCACAATGGTCTTTTCTGTTTTCTGTAGTACAAGATAGCCCAACAATAACTAATTTTTTTTTTTAAACTGACCGATGGAGGAATGCCAACATAAATATGTTAGGAACATTTTGCAACTCTCACAACTTCCATTCACTAATCTGCCCTTCTCTTTTTAAATTTACGTATTCAATTCCTCATTATGGAGTAGGCATACCGAAATGGCAAGGATTTAATAAATGCTAGTATCATTTTCATTTCTCGGCATTTTTTTTCTCCCTCTCCTTTTTTGAGTATATTTGGTTGTTTCTATTTCTTTTTGTTTATTTGATGGATTTTGCTTTCATTTCTTTTTTTCTTATTATTTCGGGGGGGGGGGGGGGTTGGGGTTCTTTTTTCCCGATCACTCCTCTTTTCTTTTCCCAGTCTTTTTTGTTCCCAAAGCTCCACGAGCTCTTTTAAATAAGAATAAAGTAAAACACAATGTCCTAAAGAAAGTGAAACTTTTTTCGGACCCTCACAAAATGGTTGTTTACTATTACAACAGCTGTCTGAATTATACTGTGCTGATGAAATGTATTGCTTAAAGATACTATGTCCCTTTTGCAGCGAACATCAAATTCTGTAGAACTTTGCAGGAATTATGAATATGTCATGTATGTCCTGTCTGTGAAATTTAGCAGTGTCCTAATATTCAAATTATCCAAGGAAACCCGTTTACTTGCTAGACTTCACTGTCAGACACTATTGAGTGACTGACTAATAGTAGTTATTTTCCCACTTAAAGACATTTTCAAGCCCCCTTTTTTGAGGGAAGTTCTAAATTAGTATCATCTTTCAAATGCCGTTGGAATTTAACCTTTTAATTTTTTTGGCCTGCAAATGGGACATAGTACCTTTAATGCTATTGTTTTTTTAATGGATGTGATATAACCAATCATTAAAGAAACCTACACCCAAGCTTGTAACACTCCCCTGCCTATAAGGGCCGAGGGAGAATGGGGGGGGGGGGGTGGCCGAGGGAGAGGGGAAGGCCGGGGGAGGGGGTCTTCTTTTTTCTGAAGGTTAATAATTGCGAAGGTTCATAAATCCTAAACACAAACTTCCCATACCAGGAGGTTCATAATTCTGAAATGGAATACCTGTACATGTAGGTATTTTTATGCTGAACATGCGATGCATTATTCAGAAGGTTCAAGTAATTTCAAAGGTTCGATATTCTGAAGGATCATAATCCCGAAAAATGAAATGGGATTCATTATTCCGAGGAGTCATAAATCGTAATACATTGATTTAGGGTCCTAGAGCATTTTCAGAATAATGTACCTTCTGAATTATGAACTCTAGTTCTTTGTCACATATACAAATCCCGTTTCATTTGTGGAATTACAAACCTTTAGAATAACAAACTTTTCAGAACAAAAAATTATCTTCGATACAAAAAAATCTTTCAGAGAAAAAAATGTAACCAAAGGGCCAGTCACGTATCACTGATGATGGTAACTATAAAAATACTGGTATATAATAATGTAGAAGAGGTATTGTATCACATAAAAATGGTGCTAAAGGCTCATGAACATAAATTGGTGAGCAACACTAATATCTATCTTTTTAAAATTAAAGGTAAAGACCAGTTATGGAAACGCCCCCCCCCCCCCTCTCAAAAAATGAAATGGAAGCTCTTATTACCAATCATGTGAAAGAATATGTTTTGACTAATACGTGATCTTACATCACATAATTTTGCTGGGAAACTGCCTGCTAATTGATATATTTGGTAAATTATTATATCTATCCAAACTGGATAGATATAGGGTAGTCCCACATACATCTTTCTGTGTACAGTGCTTCTAACTTTACCAAGACTGGGCCAAATTTCTTATCATTTTGATAATTCCAAAACTTGCACAGTACACACCAATACTTATATGCTAGATGATCAACCTTTTCTGATTGATTCCACAACGTTTCTTTCACAATGCAATCGCATGACCAGAACTGGTCTATACCTTCAGATGAAGCTCCAGATCACCAGTGAAAGTGTCAAATTAACCTCCAGATATGACAGAATATATGAAAAAAAGACTACCAGCAAGACAGTGCAATCAAATAGAGACAAGTATATTTCAAATATCTCTCACCACCATACATTCACAAGTCATAAAATAATAATGTACATACAAAATTGTTTTTCATCAATAACCTCTGAAATTGAAAAAGAAAAAAAAAGAAAGAAAGAAATCTACTCAAATTTCACAAATGCATTCTTGTGCAACATCTCCAAAACTTTATGTGCAAACTATATACCATATATTACAATATAATTTACATGAGATAAACTCTTTATAACTCGAGGCATACCATACAAAATGAGACCATCAATGGAGAATTGTTAGAAAAACACAATATTTGTGGTGCTTGAATTTAAAGTATGTGATACTGAACATTATTTTCATTAAACATTAGTATATTTTGTACAAACCGACAGTTGACAGTCACAGTCACAGATAACATGATATAAAGCAGCACTATGGGTATAAAAACTCTTTCGGTGCAATTTTCTCCATAAGCTTTATGTCCCCTCCCCTCAGTTTAAGGAATGCTTTGCACAATCGTACAACATTAACTACAATATACAACTTAAATATGAATACAAATACAGAAAAAAACAAGCATTTTAAGCAAGTCTGGAAACATGCGTGGTACCATGTGACCTAAAACAAAGACTGGACTTACACACGCCTCTTGGATACAGGTACGTTTCAAAAGTAATCAAATGAAAACAAGTCCCATGTGTTACACGTATGGATAGTAAGGCAACCAACACCACAACAAAGAGAGAGAGAGAGAGAGAGAGAGAGAGAGAGAGAGAAAGAGGGAGGATAGATGATATGGTCAAACCTGCTTTAGTGACCACCTGTCTACAAAGACCACAATTTTTGTTTCCCTTGAAAATGGTTTCTTATCGAAACATGTAAAAAAGGAACTTGTCTACACAGATCACTTTTTGTGTTTCCCTTGGGGGGGTCGCTACAGACAGGTTTGACTGTATAATTCACAAGCTCTGCAAAACAATCAAAAGAAAGCCAATTCATCTTTAACACATGGTATGATAATCACTTTGTTTGATCTTTGGACAATTTTTTGCCCAATATTCTATAACTTTAGAACCACTACAACTCTCCAGCATTCACCAATGAGGTTAATATTGTAACAAACATGTTATGAAGTGGACACTGATTGGTTAATGATGCTGCAAGATTTAAGCATTAGCCAATCGGGCTTGAGGTTTGATTAGCATAGTTAGTGACCCAATAAACAGTGGATTCTGATTGGCTGATTTTTATTGATGGCAACTCTCTTTCAGTGTTAGCCAATCAAGAACAAAGTTTTAGTAGTGACTCACTAAAAGTTGGATCTTAGCTGACAGCTTTGCAAGTAATGGTAATGATTTATTGTATCTCTCTGTGCAATAGCCCCTGAATGCAAGAGCTTCAAATACAGGGTTTGACCAATTCAGTTGCAGTAAAGTTTACACCTTCAAATATTGTTTCGTTGGCACACATACAATTACACAAAATGTGCCACATGATACCGTACTGGAAATGGATGATTCTCGTATGCTGGGGCCCCGTTTCACAAACTTGTCATCATTGACAAATGACAGTTTTTGGTATAAGCTACTGAAATCCTTGCTTCTGATTGGTTATCAACAGATTTGACACTGATTTTTGCCATTTGTCATTGAAAAAGGCTTTGTGAAACGGGTCCCAGATGTGTGCTAGCTTTTGATGTTTCTTTTCAGAAGGGAGAATTTTGGTTGATTTTAAATTAGAACCCTTTTTTTTTTTCAATCTTAAAAAGAAAAAGGACAGCTGCAATTCAGGATTGGCAGTGCCATAAACTGAACTACAAGTGATTGGCGCAGCATGAATCACACCAAAACTTATTTTCTAAATAAGCCACAGACCATGCAACAACGGAAGAGAAAACATTATCCACTAACTTTAAACAATATGGTCCTACATAGCATGTTCAGGCTATTTTATGAAAAACTTGCATAAAGAAATGTTCTCTGACGAATCATCGACATCATAAAGTGAAAAGGGCTCACAGACTAGATTCTATTACCAAGTTTTTGTTCGAAACGATGCTCAAACATGCATTTTGTTATACATTTCTTTATACATCTTTCAGACTAAAAAAACTTAATTACTTATCATATAGCCGTACAATATATATTGAGTCTGAACACAGGGTCATGTAGTTCCTCATTCTACAAAATATACAATATATACCTATCTATATACAAAAGTAATTTAAAGATCAATATTACTCAACCTTTATCTGGACAAAATTCGGCTTCACTTGATTGTGGAGGCCCAAGTGAAGTGCAAAAAAAAGAGTTAACTTTCTATTTTCTCTGAAATAACAACAATGGTCGCTAACAAACTGCCAAAAAATATAATACACGTAGAGTCATTACTAAAATACATGAATTTCAACTGAACACATGGCAGAATTCTGCTATCAAATGAATAAAATCTCTCATCAAATACATCAACAAGATTGGAAATCATTGACAATCAATATCAACTTTTTTTTTTAGATTTGGAGAAACTACTCTACACATAGGTGTTTGGGGCAAATTCTACTCAGTAAAAGGAAATATCTACAAAGTTAGAATTGATCAAGTAAGCACATTCATTTCATTTATTGGTTTAAATCAAGTAATTGTGAATAAATTTGACTTACCCGTAGTATACAAAGAAATAGATATTATATTTGATATTCAAATGGTGAAAAAGGAGATTTTGGGTAACATAGGGTATTTTTCATATTATCTAACACAAACCTTTTGCTGGACATATCTTTGGATGTGTGTGTATTCTAACAGTAAAAAAAGATCAAAGTACACAAATTTGGCAACATATGGTTAAATACAACAAATAATTTACACATGATGCTCCATAGCAAAATGTAATAGTAATAGAAAACTATCAATTTCCGTACTTTGTTTACTTTTGCAGAAAATTCTTTACCTTGATTAGTTACAGGCTGTTAATGCTCACAAAGCAGCATACCAATATATGCTTAATGAAATTATGATTATCTTCAAGGCACATAGGTGTATTGGATTTCTCCATGAGACAGGGAATGTATCGTTGGTAAAAGTAACATGCATAATAACATACAGCCCTGTACTATCAATTTCTTTTTATCTCAATGTTTGAAACATGTAATGTTTTTTTATCAAAATTTACATTGCCCACATAGTCCCGTCTTAACTAGACACAGCTAAATGAAATGAGCAATATCTTTTGAAGGCATATTGGTTTAATTTCATTACCCTAATTAAGTTTGAAATAATAAATGGTAGTATTTCTCCCCCAAAACGGGGTAAAGTAATGGATATGGGAAAGAATGCAATATAGATTGGTATGTCTGGAACCAAACAAAATGAGGAATGTTTTCAATAAACCACTCTGCTTTGAAGGCACAGTTATATACATTCAAGTCTGACTATTGATAATTTTGACAATAAGAAATGTACAGCAAAGCAGGACGGTTTTATGCGTTCGAGAACCATCTGCGGTAAATAACCCTCATTAAAGCACCTGTACATATCACACGAAAACCGACTACAACAATATACCTATGCTATGAGCTTGTGTTATTCAAACAGAAAGCCCCTGCAGTTTTCTGACCCACATCTGCACTCGACTTGAGCTAACTCATTGGCACCTTCCTCGTTCACTGAACCTAGAACAGAGACAAAAAGAAATGAAGGAAGAATGATTATCAACTGATCAATATGCTGCTTTTGCATCAGTGTGATTAGGCAGAGCAATGCTCAATTTCAAAGTCTCATATAAGTCAGCCTGGAGTTCGGGGAGCAACAAAGGTAGAACTCTAAAAGGATCCTTAAAATATTACAATGAATGTTATAAATGACATCTACCAGATAAATGTGAAAGACAACTAATGAATAACTAAAAATATGTACAGAATAAAGAATAAGGGGACATGGGGACATCTGTCTACTGGGACTACAAAATTATCTTCCCAATTGATACTCATGCATTTGTTTTTACTTTCAAAGGGCTGTGCTTGTATTCTCTTTATATGATTATTTGGATATTTGGATATAGAGTACAAAGGTATTATTGAATTTCCAATATGAACATGCTAAACAATTGATTCTTAAAGGGCTGGGAGGCAGATTCATGCCCATCACCTCCCCCCCCCCCCCCCTCCCCCACTTATCACACAATTTATTTATTTTTGAGGATTATTAATTTTTTGCACCAGCAACTTTCATGACTTTATAGCGGCGGTCTGGAGTCTTAGGCATTTTTTCACACCAACTTTATACAACATCAACCTACAGGTAATTACACAGTGTGAACAATTGCAGCACTGCATCCAGCCAAAATGTACATTTCTCCATATGAATTTCTACAATGCAAAATTATCAATATATGAATGTAAAATTAGCCACAATTCAAAAACCATTTGAGATATTGGTAGGAAAACATCATCAGCTTATTTATTATGTGCCAATTTTGTCAGATTTTTTCATGGAATCCAGCCCCTTTCCTACTGAGAGAGCACCAAAAATAACCCAGCCTTTTTTAAAGATAAACTTGAGTTCTGGTAAAAAAAGGAAAATAAGTTCTCACAGAATCAAACGAAACTTACACTGAATGTTCAAGATTACAAATAAATGACATTTGCCAAACAATTTTGAAAGAAATGGTGTACTGGCTGAGTAATGAGCACAGAAAGATAAGGAAATCAAGGTAGTACTAGCCCTGACACCATTGTGTAGTCCCATATACATCTTTCTATTTACAGTACAGTAAGTTTCTTATCACTTTGATGACTCCAGAACCTTGCAGTGCACACCAGTACTTACATGCTACATGATCAACTGTTTCTGATCCATTCCACACCTTTTCTTTCACAATGCAATCGCATTACCAGAACTCACCTTTATCTTTAAGGTTTACTCCATTCAGATTAGCTTTAAACTGATGTCGGGTACTTTAGGAAAACAGCTCTGACATTGAAACTATCCATGCAACCTTTTTCATTCCTTTCTACAGTATATACTCTATAAATATAATCTGCTTTCTAGTACTTTGAGAGTTTATTGTATGATTGTGAATAAAATGATAAAGCATGTTTATAGGACAAGTGTTAGAATTTGCATTCTTTATTAGGACCATTCTTCGAAGACTGAGTGAAAAGACCAGTTTTTTAATAACTAAAAGGTTTAAAGATACTATGTCCCTTTTGCAGCCAACATCAAATTCTGTAGAACTTTGCAGGAATTATAAATATGTCATGTATGTTCTATCTGTGAAATTTAAACGTTAGCAGTGTCCTAATATTCAAATTATGCTAGGAAACCCGTTTAGTCACTAGACTTCACTGTCAGACACTGTTGAGTGACTGACTGGCTTTTTTTCTTCTTAGGTAATAACATACATGAAATGAGCTGTAAGGGTTAAGGCTGCGACGGGTAGTCGAATGCTCGAGTACCCGCATGGTTAACAACTACTCGGGTACGATTTCTCGTACCCGAATATTCGGCCGCAAAAAAAAAAAAAAAAAAAAAAAAAAAAATGTCCAGGCCCACGCTTACCCGTGCCAGGGAGAGCGGCAGCCGCTGGCATGGTACCGTCGGTAAAAATGTTTCCCAACTCAAGCGCTGTCAAACTCACCTTTCAGAAACTGGGACCAAATGTCCAGATTTCTGTTTGGACTTGGAGGAAAATGAATTATTCTGCCATCTTTGGTTTTTAAAACATTGTTTACTGTTATTATTCTTATTAAATCGGCGCCTTCAACTGCAACTCAAAGTAAAGTTGCATGCAGTTTCGGCGAGGGATCTGGGAAACTGCCGAGTCGTATTGTAGTGGCAAAAAAATTAGTTGTCGAAAAAACATGGCGTCCGAATATTCGAGTATTCGCTTGTGAGCCTGGGAGTGTACTCGGGTACTTCATTACACTGTTGTGCACAGCCTTAGTAAGGGTTCATCAGCATTTGTCTACATCAATAGCCCACTTCTTGTAATGGCCAAAATTCAACTGATTGAATCTTTGCGCAACATAAAAACGTACGACCATTCAGTCCAATGGTCTGAAAATCAGACTATTACTTACTGGCTCTATAGCTCTTAAGTCGATTCGACAACTAATACTTAGTAGTTATTTTCCCACTTAAAGACATTTTCAAGCCCCCTTTTTTTAAGGGAAGTTCTAACTTAGTATTATCTTTCAAATGCTGTTGGAATTTAACCTTTTTTTGTTTTTGGGGCCTGCAAATGGCACATAGTACCTTTAATAAACACCAATTTGTGCACAAACATATGCAAATCTCTTTTGATGGGCACACTACCCGTTTAACAACTAGGATTATCCAATATTTGATACGGCAAGTAGATGGTACTGTATTAATAACAACAATTTTTTGCAAATACATGCATGCAAAATATGTTGTACCCGTAATGGATACTCTCCCTGTTTAACAAATAGATTTATACTGGCATGTCCAACATGGTTTGTGCACTATGCATAGCCAGATAATTTGTACTCGATACAATCGACCTACATCTGCACACATGCAAATTATAATTACAAACTGGCTTATTTATACTGCCCAGTTCATACAGGAGATCTTGGAAATTATCTGAAGGATTCAGCACAAGCTAATGCCTTAGTCACACCTTTGCGTATTTGGCTTGCATATTGCTGCGTATTTATGGCAACCCGTTTTTTACATTTATTCCTATTCCTTGAGATCAAGTAATCACCTTTTGGTGTTAACGCAATAGTAATTCTTGATAATAAGAATTTGATTTCTTGATTCTTGATATCAAGAAATAGAAATAAATATTAAAACAGCTTGCCATAAATATGCAAAGGTGTGACTGAGGCATAAAGCGTAGCACAAATTTTATTTGACGTTGATCTTACCTGTCATCTGATAATCAAAGGTGAGTTCTTCGCCAGCCTTGATGTCACTACAGGCAAAGAGAGCAATGCGGGGCAGTCTGGGATCAAGGCAATTCACCCACACACCATACACCACTAGATTAGGCTCGCACTGTTAAGACAAGAGTAAGGAAATGAGTTATCATTAAAATATAGTTGTGTGCATGCAGTCATGAATGATTAAATAGTTGAATTGATAAGCCAACAAAACTACGGGTAAATTTTTTTTTATTGACCGCTCAGCAAAGTCAATGGGAATTTGTGTGTAATTTGCCGGTCAAGTGAGTGAGTTAATAATAATATACAGTTAACCAATTAACAAATATTATTGCCTGATCAGAAAAGTAAATTTTGTACTTTTCATTGTGCATCTATTATGCATATGACAACCTGCGCAGTTTGCGCGTACTCTATTGCGACGTAATAATCACACCAAAGGCACACCGTTTGCCCTGTATAAAAAAAATTGTCAAGCACTGGATGCACAGTGCTGGTTTGACAATGTTTTTACAACGTTTCATGCTAGGTAACCCTGTGCAGTGCAGTCTACTGTATTTACTTATAAGATATTGAAAGTTTCATGTTTGCTCTAGATGTCTGAAGTGGTTAATAATAGTGATATTGACTGCCTAATTCAGGGCAATACGACTTGTCATATATCGCCCTCATCCTCAGTTCAGGCAATATATGTCGTATTGCCCTGAAGGCAGTCACTATTATTAAAATATATAACAAAATATATTTTTTTCAATAAAGAAAATGAATCTCATAAAAAGAGGATTTAATTTCTTTGGTAAGAGGAAATTGTATTCTATACTTGTGCTATGCATATCCAGAATGGGTGTATCATAAACCTAATTCCAAATGATAAAAACCACCCCGAGGATCTTGTTTGACGACTTACAGAATGGTTGACAAAATGAGATATGTTGCCATAGTGACCAGCATCAACAGTGAAGGGGCAATCATCATCATTGTAGTCCAGATCAAAGAGATATGTCCTTCCGTTGGCATCGTAGATCTTCCCTCTTCGCTCCGCCTCTTCACTCGTAATGACCTGAATCAAGATAGAAATTGGATAAACAAGCATGATTTTTCTCTTTTTTAAAATAAAGACATTAGAGATGCATTTATCAAGGTTTGAAACTAAACACGGGTCCAACTATGTTAGAGATCCACGGTCCAACTAAGGGCATATAACCTTATAAACTTCACAATGACCCCCAAGACATGAGCCTTTATTTTATTTGGAGATGCATGTCTAAGAGTAAAGTTCTCTTCTGAAAAAGAGAAAAGAAAAGATCATTCATTATAATAACAAAGCCCCTAAATTAATCATTCGTTGACAAAAACTATAGATAATATATTTAACTGTTCCCATGCTTAAAAAAACAAAAAGACAGCAGAGAAATTAGCAATACCTCTCCTACATATTCCATGACGAAGGAGTTCTTCTTGATATCTACAAGCGTCCTCACTCCCCAGCCTCTGCCGTTTTCCGTTCTGAAGATGACCAGCTTGTGTTTCCTGCCCAATTGGACCACCCTGTTCGGACACTGCTCTCCACACTTACACATCTTATTGCACTCATAGATTGGCGTTCCTGGTTTAGCTTTTACGAGTTTATGTTTGTTGTAGGCAAATTTGACCCCACCGTTCTGGGGACAGCACCTGCTTTCGGCCTCAGAGGAGCAGTTGTCGCACTCGCAGCCGACCGGGGGGTCGGTTGGGATGTCGACGCCCGTGCCTGCTATGTAGTCGCCGATGTAGACAAAGTCCTGGGGAGGTCCCTCCAGGTCCACGTTGTTGACAATCGTGATAGGAGCTTCATTCTGACATTTGGAGTTGAGCTCTTGCTCCCAGGATTTGAGCTCTTTCTTGACCAGGGACTTGAGGACATCGGTCAGTGCCTTGGACTCGGATTCTTTCCACTTGTTGGACCTCTTCTTTTGAGCGAGCTATAATGGTCAAACGGTCAAGTAAGAAATACCAGACACGGTGGGAAAAATACTTGAGAGTGAACAGTGAAACATATACATGAAGTTTAGTAACACTCCATCACACTTTTCAAGGAAAATCATGAGAATAATAAATAATGAAGTTTTGACTAACGAAATGCGCATGGCTGAATTCCAAATATGACCTACTGTATACGAAAGATTCTTTATCAAAATACACAGCCCAAGAGTCCTCCACTTTCATGTTTCCAAATAATAACTTTTTCTCCAATGTATATTACACTGAATGCCTCACTTTTGTTATTATCTATGAAACATAATTAGTCAGCATATATGTACCATAATTACACTCATTATTACATTATTCTTTCAATTATGGCACACACATGTATGTCAATTTATTGTGGAGTCATGTAATTTTGTGACGCTAGAATGAAACATTGATTGAATAAATTTGGCACTGACAGTTAAATAGCAATCACTTGTACCTGTACGCAAATTTTGCTTGAATCTATCATAATTAAATGTGATATGTATACTAAATATTCTATCATTTCCAGATCTCAATATAAACTACTTGTTTACCTTTACACTTTCAATATTTCATTAAACACCAGAACCCTTTTCCCCCCTCCCGTTTGTCTTTTAAGAAAATACTTGCCTGTTTCAAACTCTTCTCAAGTTGTCTCTTCTGCTTGAGTATTTCAGTGCGAGTTATGCATGCTTTATGATAAGTCTTATGGAACCTCTTGAGGAGTTTTCTACTATTGCCAAGATTCTTCTTGGGCTCCCACGTGTTGTCAGTAGAGGGATATCCCACCCATTTCACCAGGTACCATTCTATATTCTGAAAGAAAACAAATTAGAAATGCATATCTAATTATTATTATTATTATTATTATAATATCTCTATACAGAGCGAATTTATTTTTCCATTTCTTTTTCACATAATATAAACAATAACTAAACAATAATAAACGTGATGGTATAACAGAAATAAGCATTGAAATATCTTTGACATTGTTTTTTAATCATTGTAATGCAAAATGATTTAATTACAAGAAATGAAAAAAAATGAACCAACTTGAAAGCAAAGCTTGTTAGATGTAGGTTCGTACAATAATAATTATACTTTATACATTTATAACTTAATTTTGAAGAAAAATTACGGAATAAAAAAAAACATGACAGACAATAGAAAAACAAACAATTAACGAGACAAAAACAAATCAGAAACATTAGCAGAATGACAAGATGATGATGATAAATGAAGAATATAAGAATGAGAGAGTAAAAAACAGAAAAGGGGGAAGACATGCAGGAAGATGAAAAGAAGACAGAGATATATACTATACTTGACAGGTATTTATATAAGCATAAAGTCTGCAGACAAAAAGTATTTTCGATTTTGATATTTTGGGGGTTTATGATTCATCCTTAAAGAAAACCTCACCCCAAGAAATAACTTTACTTAATATTCTGAGAGATTTATTGTATTCTTACTCATTAATCTACAAGATTCCCCACTAAAGTGTATAAGAGAGGCATGAAGCAAGGATAATGTACAGTTTCTCAGCACGACATGGGCATCGCCATTTTTTTGATAACGAGACGTTCTTTGTGAATTCGGTTATCAAGTAAATGTATTCAAATTTAAGGATGCTTCCTTCCCAGGTGTGTGAGGTGAATTCATTACCCTTCTAATATCCTTTGTACTACAATTGCCAGAACGCATTGCATAAATAAGTTGGTGCTCTTCTCGGGTAGATCCACGTATTCACGTGCGTGCAACATACGCGAAACCGAAGCGTGAGGAGAACTTTGGTCTGTATCACGAACGCTAGGGCGCGCTGACCCAGTTAATCAAGTCCATTCATTTAAGACTACGTGCAATTGTCAAAAAAAAGGCGCAGATGGAATCAACCATTATTTCCCATGCTACAGCCCCTTTAATATCAATCGCAACTATGTACATAAGACATAGGTGACTGTAAGCTTGCAAATAATTGCAGGACTTGTGATTGATTCACATCAACTTTTACAATTAGATTTTTACACATGAATACATCTGTAAGTCTGCTTGACCCACAATCAACAACTTACATTTCCGTCTTTTTGGTAATCAACAATCTCCTCCACGTCAAATTCATCTCCAGAGGAGCCAGATTTTTCTGAAAAAGAGAGAAGAGAATGAATAGCCAGTTATGATCAAATACAGTGGAATACAAGCAGCCTAAAGCCACGCACAGCTTGGCAGTTTGTGACTTTGTGTACAAATTTGTAAGACAAGAGAATGTGGGCGTACAATGTATCTCCCATGGTGGTAAAGACCAAGAAAACGGTAGTGCAGACGTACATGTACTATAGCTGACCACTACAAGCTTGGACTGAAAGCTGTGCGTGTTACAGCCATAGAGTCACACAGGAACGTCAACTGTCAATATTCAAATATGTAGCAGCTGTGGTGTACAACTGTAAATAACATTACACACGCTCACTCACATCACTTTATTGTGATTTAAGGAAAGGCAGGGAAAAATTACACGGGGGCTCAGGGCAAATTAGCCCCCGAAATGCCCAAAAGAGCCCCGAAAGTCATAAAACAGCCCCAAAATGTTGCATAGAGTTCAATGCAAAACAAATTAAAGAGTGTTATTTTCATGCAAGCAAGCTTGAAAAGTAGCCCCGAAATTTTTAAAGTACTTTTTTCCCTGAGGAAAGGTGACATGTGGAGAGTCAACTATATATGAGCAACCAGCCATTTCTTTTTTCCATTTTCCACTTGTCACCTTCCATCATGAGGCCTAAAATAAAAACTTGTTGTATTGCCCTTTGCGACCGACCCAAAAATCTGAAAATCTATGGTCGTCATTTAAAAAAAAAAAAAAATTCCAACCGTTTTTTTAGATTTTTTTGTATTAATAAATACAAAAATATGTATTTTGTTTGTTTAAATGGGATATAAATGCATCAAATCAAATTATTCCACAATTTTCACTTGTGCAAAACAATGGATAATTATGAGGTGAAAAATCTATGAATGGAATGATGCTCTGAAACACACGTATCAAAGCATTACAAACTGAGAAATATCAGCCAAAAGAGGCTGGGGAAAAAAGAAAGAAAAAAAAATCAAATCTGAAAAATATCAGTCCAAAGAGGGCAACAAAAGAAAAAACTTTAAAAAAAAAAAACTTTCCAACCGACCGACCCATGTTTTGGCACCAAAAGGGCAATACAATTTTTTATTTTAGGCCTGATCATGAGACTCCTAGAGTGTAGACAGTCCATGAAGGTTGGACAAGTTTGAGATCAGGGGGCCGTTTCATGAAACAATTAGTCGGTGGTTTTCACCGACTAATATCATGTTGCGCTGACTAAATTTGACCAATCACAGTCCTGGAAAATAGTCGGTGAACATGATATTAGTCGGTGAAAACCACCGACTAATTGTTTCATGAAACGCCCCCCAGTTCATGTTTGTCAGGCTGAACAGAACCTTTTAACCTTTGGTCAATTTCATGCCATCCATAGATTCCATATTTATTGCACTAGACTAGGGACAGGCACACGCAAATATACATGAAAGCGTACTTGTGTATCAGTATCCCATCCCCCCCCCCCCCCACCCAATTAAGTTTAGGATTAACATTCAGAGGGTTTTTCTCTCTCTCTCTCTCTCTCTCTCTCTCTGTGCTCTAATAACTTAAATAACAGAACTGTAATTCAGCATGCATATGATGCACTGTAAATGTAAGTATGATACATCTTTTCTAGATTATGTCATTATTAACTTTTGGCAAACTTTGCTGCACGGCCATTCCATGTTGACAAATTGACACAGCTCCCAATATGGATGTTTCTGTTAGTAATTGATACATGTAGTCATACTCTACATTGCCATGGCTGGTATACCATCAGTGCATGACGTATGGTATGGGGGCCATAAGCTATGCACTTTGTTTTCAACAGCTTAGTGTCCTTTCGACCTAGGTCAAACTCTAATTCAGAGTGGTACTGGACTGGTTTATTTCTTATTTCATTTCATTTCTTTATTGTGTCCATATAGGATAATTGTTTATATTTACATGAACAATCTTGCTTCAACATATGAACAACATATAATTGACATTCATAGGGCCCTGTTTTAGTATACATTTGATATAATATACATGTCATTTATTTCATTTAAAGTGACTCTGTAACATTGTTGAAGGTTGATGAAAAAAAGTGTAATTTTTGTATGAAATGTTACTTATTATATTCCTTCTACTGTACTTGATACCCTCTAACAGGCAAAAATTCTGAGAAAATTCTCAAGCCACAAAGATATTGATGGTTTTCTATGAAGGCGTCACTGTGCAACACCCTCTAACAGCTGATTAACAGCAAATTCTCCCAACCATTTTTGAATTTTCCCAACCATTTTTCTTGAAAATAAGACATAAGACAGGCTTTTAAAAACATTTCAACACTTAAATGTCTGGAATGGTGTATAGAGCCAATTCATTGCTGTGAAGATTTAAATTCACCTAAAATATAATTAAATTATAATATAGTTGGGAGAATTAAGGAATCGATCAGATCACTTTTTCCCAAATTGTATCCTTACTATAATTTGGCTAAACTTGTGTATATGTACATGTATGTATGTCTGTCGTTCTGTTTGTTTGATGGCGCTTTTCTCTGTGGTCTTCCACTCAATCGAGTCGGAATTTCACCCATTCCCAGTTTTAAAACCTCCAGATTGCCATGAAGAGGTTTTTTAAACCAATTTTGTCTATTTGGGGGTTCTAAATTTAAAGATCACTTTTTCCCAAATTGTATCCTTACTATAATTTGGCGAAACTTGTGTATATGTACATGTATGTCTGTCCTTTTGTTTGTTTAATGGCGCTTTTCTCTGTGGTCTTCCACTCAATCGAGTCGGAATTTCACCCATTCCCAGTTTTAAAACCTCCAGATTGCCATGAAGAGGTTTTTTTAAACCAATTTTGTCTATTTGGGGGTTCTAAATTTAAAATACTTAAGTTTCTATTTGCTGATCCAACAGGGAATAGGAATACTTTGTATCCACATTGTGCAATGAAGATCAGCGCACACACGGGGATTTGATCTTCGCATGCAATGCATGCATCTACGTGCTCCACAAACAGTCACTACGGGTCGGCACGTCACGTGAGTGGGCAGCTCTTACCGAAGATTAGGCTTAATTTATAGTCCTTTTGAAAGTTGCTTCGGAATCACACGAGTATATAGGCCTACATGCAATACCGGTAGTTGTCCGGGCTTTAATTTAATATCTGAGAGGAATTAAATTACATGATTATATTTTGACATGCTTGGCAAACGAACCAACCAGTTCAGAGATTTTGCAATGCATTTTGCGTTACTAATTATTTTTTATTTTGTGTATAAATATTATTGTGTCATGACTTTGTCTGAGGGTCGTAGGCAAATTAACCGACACGGTTCAAATTGGTTTTAAAATCTCACTCAATCGAAAAAGATGTATTTGCCAGGTTGTGTATCTGGACACTTGATTTTAATCACCTAAGTAATAGTATATTATTAATGACTGCTTTGAGAGACATAGTTGTTTTATACGCTCAAGGGGTGCCCGAGGCTTGCCGAGGGCAATAGCTCGATTGTCTCGATTGCCAAGGGCAATAGCTCGATTGTCTTGATTGTCTCGATTGTCTCGAAAATTAAAGCAGTCCTTAATACTTTTATATACCGAAAAGGGTCATACATGTGCGACTTACCAATCATGGTAATCAAGTTTGTTTACGCTATCGAGACCTACACTGTACATGTAGTCTAGGGTGTTTGATCGCGCACCACTCGAGTTTAGATTGCACGCATAAATACACTGTATGCAGTCTAGATCTACATCTAGATCTACGTTGTCCAGCTCCGAATTTGGAAGTTTGTTTACGCTATCTCAATATTTTTATGGAGAATTTCAATTACCCTTTTGGTGTTCTTGCTGTCAGCAGAATTAATCATGTCTTGCAAGGCATTATCGTGATCAGAGTCCCCTCTCATCATTCCTCTACACAGCTTTATTGCATCTGCGTGCGGGGCCGGGGGACTTCAATTCACGTCCATAGACTTAGCACGCAAACATGTGTGTACACTATGAATTAGAGGGGACTTCGATTCGCACACACACAATGTATGGTATCCGCTCTCGCTCAAGACTGAACCATTTTCATGGTAACTGGAAGTTTGCTGGGATTTTACTCTAGAACTATTACATGGGTCTGACTGGCACTTCCGTGATTGTGCTGCTTCCGTATAATGCGCTGTATGAGTGTTATTCAGCGCATTATACGGAAGCAGCACTTTTACGAAGTGCCAGTCAGAGGTCATCACCATTGTGTAGAGATCGTGAATTCACACGGTACACGTGAAAAGGGAGCTGAGCTCTATCGTTCTGGTAAGAAAATTGCTTTTATTTTATTATTTTTACCTACGATTTTTAAATTCTGGAGGTAATTAGGACTACAATTAGATTTTTTTCTACAACAAAATTTATCAAAGCCACTGTCCAATATTGGTCGGTCGCGGAAAAGTATGATTTTGGAAACATTTTGGTTGTTGTTTACCTACCTCTCCGTGGGGCCCTATGGGTGCCGTTTAAGACTCCCTCGAATAATATCATAAAAAACATTTCGAGGGAGCCCTTAACCGTACCGTGTACACGGTACATTACAAGTACAAACACACCATGCACGCCCGACCTGGTTTAATTTGTTGTAATTTGCTGTGCATTATCAGAATATCGCCATATTGTCTTTGAAATTAGAGTTTGACTTTGACTTTTGAGTTTGACCCGATAGGCAATAGATCTAGGCGATATTCGATAACTCAGGCAGACCAGCGCCGGTGCAGTTCAGTGCATGCAGAAGAACCAAGCGCTGCAAGCCAAGGCAATGGTATGCTGTTTACACTAACGAGTAACGTGCAATTGCAAACATGCGAGCTTGTTACATCGCACATAAATGGCGATTTATTCACTTATATATTCAGTTTCTGGTTTCCTAATTATTCTACCAATTACACACAATTAAATGAGCAACGTAAAATATTTAGTATTCTCTGTTTTTGATCAAGTCTTCGACTTACCCCCACCGCGAGCAACCTGTTCACCACACCCGGCCATTTTGGATTTGCCTCCTTTTTCCTGATTGGCCAATCCTCCTCTTGGCGCAGGCCGCGCAAATATTGTATGTTGAGCGAGAGACTTTATACACCAACAGTACATGTAATACCAGGGAGGGGAGACTTTCCTGGTATTGTCCAGGGAGGTGAAACTATTCGTCTCTTTTGTTGGGTGGGAAATGATTGAAAAGCCTATCCAAAGTGTTCTGCAATGACTAAAAAAACATTCATCAGTTAGCACCCCCGTACAAACTAGGGGTTTGGGGCCGGTTTGGGGGGGGGGGGGGGTTCGCGCGAACCCCCCCCCCTTCCCAAAAAACAAAAAAAAATTGTTGATTTTAATTTGTTGATTTTTTTGGTTGATTACAAAAAAAATGAGTGCTCACTAGTCACTTCCCTCCCCCCCCCCCCCCCCCCCAGATTGGTGAAAACCCAGAGTTTCTATATTCAGTGAAGGACTTATCATATTGAGCCATATTAATTCTTTCACATTGCCTGACCAGAACTGTGTTTCGAAGTTTAAAAAAAAAAAAAAAAAAAAAAAAAAAAAAAAAAAAAAAAATCATATGGGCATCATCCCATTCAATGTTACCACCAACGTTAATTTATCAGTAGGCCTAACACCACCAAACCGACTCCAGACCGACCGATTCTTAAACAATTGACGTTTCGGAGTAATTAATGTCGGTCTTATCAGTTTGACTATAATAATTAATAATAAATTAATTAATAAATAATAAACAATACCCGCATAGTTACAGAAGAAAATTTCAAGATGGGCCGTTAAGGAGAGTGAAATCAAAAAGTATCACAAGGGACGCCGAGCGGGGAGCACCCCCTCCAGTGGCGTATCTGGGGTACTCCATCAGGGGGGAGGGGGGGGGGGGGCAAGCGACCGAAACAAACAAAAAGGCGATGCTAATTTTCACTTCTGGCGAGCGAGCGAGCAAAAAATATCTTTAAGTAACGTTTGGTATATATAAGCTGGTATTGTTGCAAGTCGGGGGTGGGCACATTCATTTGTTAGCGACGTTAATTAAGAAAAAGAATCACTTCTTTTTTAATAATTGCAACTTAAACTTGGTTCAATAATTGTCCCATGCCGGATGCGGGAACAATATTGTGTATAGGATGATTTTATACCCATTTTAGCTAGCGAGCGAAAATACACCTTTCTCTCAATGAATTGCTATGTAAAATTAGTTTCATTCTTGCAGGTCGTGGGCGGGCACAATCGCGTTTAAGCCAATTTCAATCCCATTTTGGCGGGCAGGCAACCCCCTACATTTCTCTGTTTAATCATATTGTAGCAGGTCAGTGGTGGACACAATATTTCCACGAGCTAGCGAGCGTAGCGAGCGAGCGAAAAAAGAAAATTCTCTTTTAGTGAGAATATGGTATAAACATAAACTTGGTTTCATTGTTCCATGTCAGCGACGTGATTATAAAAAGCGATGTTATTTCTATTTTGTCGAGCGAGCAAACTTTTTGTAATGATAACTGGTTCATAAATGTCAGGTTTTTGTTGCAGGTCGGGGCGTACAAAATCTTGTTTAAGGTGATGTTAATTCCATTTTGGCGAGGGTATAGAGAGCAAACCAAATTTTCTTTGAATAACGTTTGGTACATAATTATTAACTGATAATTTGTTGTAGGTTGGGGTGAGCATGTTTGTTAGCGTGTTAATTGTAAAGACAACGAAGCAAGAGAGGTAAAAAAAAATCTTTTAAAGGTACTATGTCCCATTTGCAGGCCAAAAAAAATGAAAAAGTTAAATTCCAACTGCATTTGAAAGATAATACTAATTTAGAACTTCCCTAAAAAGGTGGGGCTTGAAAATGTCCTCAAGTGGGAAAATAACGACTATTAGTTGTCAAATCGACTTTAGGGCTATAGAGCCCAAAAGTAATAGTCTTGATTTTCAGACAATTATTGTACCGAATGGTCATACGTTTTATGCTGCGCAAAGATTCAATCAGTTTAATCTTGGCCATCACAAGAAGTGGGTTATTGATGTAGACAAATGCTCATGTACCCTATACAACTCTTTTCATGTATGTTATTACCAAAAAAGAAAAAAAAGCCAGTCAGTCACTCAATAGTGTCTGACAGTGAAGTCTAGCAAGTAAACGGGTTTCCTTGCATAATTTGAATATGAGGACACTGCTAACATTTAAATTTCACAGATAGGACATACATGACATATTCATAATTCCTGCAAAGTTCTACAGAATTTGAGGTTGGCCGCAAAAGGGACATAGTACCTTTAATGTTGATTAGTACATGAACATTGTTTATTGTTGCAGGTCAGGGCGGGCAAATCATTAAAGGCGATGTTAATTCCATTATGACGAGCAAGCTCGAACCAAGCTGGAAAATACTATTTCAATAATAATTGGTACGTAAACTTAAGACTTTTTGTTGCAGGTTGGAGTGGACACGATCATGTTTTAAGATGATGTTAATTCCATTCGGCTAGCGAGCGTAACATATAATTGTCTTATGATGATTGGAACATAGATTAAAGGTAAAACAAAGTTTTGGGAAATTTTGAAATTGGGTGGATAGTGATTCTTTACAATTTTGATATATTTGAATGCCCCTGTGGATGTATTATAAGGGCTAGAAATTTAGCCCCTAAAACGATTCTGTTTTCGAGAAAAATTGAATATAGCTATTTACCGGTGCTCCCGGTAAATTTTGATAATTTTTTTAATAGCGCCTACGGCCTTATAATGGTAGCTGCGAACATGAAAATCTCAGACTATGTATTTGTGATATTATTATTAGTCAAGAAACATTGTTTTATGGCTTAATTAATATCTTGACCTTGAGAGGGAGCTATACAACATACAGAGTTAATTATTTACAATTCCATAACTTAAGACTCGATTTCAACCGCAATAACGATCACTGAATATTATAGGATCGCTTATGCTTCCAACATGTTCATTTGAACCAAATTCATAACCCCATACCAAAACTTTGTATTACCTTTAACATCTACCCTAGCAGGTCGGGGCCTTATCATTAGGCAATTTTAATTCAATTTTGGGTAGAAAAAGCGAGAATTTTTTTTCTTCTCTCTTTTACTGATTTGCTGCAAGTTGGAGCAAGCACAATCGCGCTTAAGGCGATGTTAATTACATATTTGGGAGTGAGCGTATATAGCGAGCGAGCAAAAATACTATTTTCTTTCAAAAATAATTGGTATATAAACATAGATCTTTATGTTGCAGGTCGAGGTGACACAAATCAACTCATATGTCAGTCACTAAAATCAAACAATTCATCAATTCTGGTGAGCGAGGAAACAATATCTCTTAAAATAACGTGTGGTACTTATTTACTGGGATTATTGTTGCAGGCAAGGGGGTTACAAATTTTGTTAGAAATGTCAATTTCATTTTGGCGAGCGAGGATAGCGAGCAAGCAAAAGAAATCTATTATTTTTTAATAGAATTTAATACATAAACTTGTTTATATTGGTGCAGGTCGGGATGGGTGCAATCGCGTTTAACACGATATCAGTTCCTTTTTGGCAAGAGGGTGATACTGCATGGGAAGGGTGGGCACAATTATTGTTTTAAAAGCAATGTCTATTCCATTTATTCGCGAGAAAGCGTAGCGAGCGAGAAAAAATGAATTAGTCGCTTTTAATAACATTTGGTACATACATTGGGTGTTATTGTTGCCATGGTTGCAGATCGGGGCCCGTCTTTTCTTTTCTTTTTTTTCCCCTTTTCCCCTTTTTTCCTTTCCTTTCCTTTCTTTTCTTTTCTTACCCCTTTTTTCTCTATCCCCTTTTTTTCTCCTTTCCCCCCTTTTCCCCCTTTTTTCTTTTTTTCCCTGGAGCCCGTCATGGGGGCACTCTGCCCCTGCCCCCTCGGGGAAGCTAGTGCCCCCTCCCACATGTATTATATTATTCAATAAAACAAAAATTAGAGTTAAAGAGTAAACGCAACACAATGTGAGGATTGGATGTCCATTCTGTCACGCTGGAGTTACCCGTACTAATAAATTGATTATTAGATAGAGCAGATAAGACACGTATGTGAAGCTGCTAAAGAGTAACTTCTCGCTAAACCGTAACCTAACTCCTAAGTAATAAACTCAATTAAACAAAATGTTGTCTTTTGACAAAATAATATATACATTGTTAGAAGAGTGAATTTATCATAGAGGACGTAACAGCAAATCAAATGAATCAATTAAAAATATAATAACAATGTTTGATTTTATGAAAATGTTACAGTGATGTTTTAATACTCATCTAGATTTAGATCATCAAATTTCAGCACGATAGGATTTGGGCTTATCAATTAACAATAGTTTGTTATAGAGGCATAAAAAAAACTCTTTTTCATGAATGGTTTGCAAGACAAAATCATGTTCATGGCGATGGTGAATTGATTTTGATGTGGCATTTGTTGAAGTATCCTCAAAGTGGCTTTTCAATTAATGTCCGAACGATGTTAGTAAACAATTTCATCATATCATGGGAGAGCAAATTTGGAATTAATTATAATCTTAATGTTACCAGCAGGATCGACACCAACCTACGTTGCGCTCTCCCCCAAACTCGGGGTGAGGGGGGGGGGGGTGGGGGGCGTTCAGAGGTTCCTGTATAGAAATTCAGCATAGGGCATACACAAGGCCTAACACATTTTAGAATGACACGTCATTTTGTTTCTGTTAGATTTATATTAATATTGTACAGATATATATAGGCTATACAATATTAATGAGTCTGACTTTGGTAAGGTACGAAAATCGACCCAAAACCTGGGTTGCATTCTACCTCAAACACCGGGGGACCACTCGGAGGTTCCCCTAGAAATACAACTTAGGGTCTACACAAGGCCTGAAACATTTTAGAATGGCGTTAATATTTTTCAGTTGAAGGTAATGTATATGCTTTATATACATTGTACAGATAGAATAGACTGTACAATATTAATGAGAGCAATACCAAGCGAATTTGACTCAGGGGGGGGGGGGGCGCTCGCTACTCAGTATGACCGCTATTCATAAGGACCATTATTCATAAGGA